GTATTGGAATTGTCTCACGGTCTGGTACACTGACTTATGAAGCGGTGAGATCCTTTTTCATTTGGATTTTATTTTATGAAATTTTGAACGCCTATATTTTATCATTAAAGCTTCTCCAAGCTATGGTTGGCTGTGAGCAAAATAGACTTCCTATGACTTGTATATCTGTATCTATATGGTGCCTTTATACTGTTGAATTCAATGGACTTTTCAACAGTTAAACATTCCACAAGTTGAAAAGATTATAGCTAGTCAATTTGTCCCTCTGCCTCCTAAGTCTTATGTAAAGGTTGGAAGGGTTACAAAAATTGGTTGGTTGCGTGGGATATAGAAACCTTAAGCTCTAGTAGGGAGCATGTTTGACTGACCTTAATTGCAAGTAAAAGCAAGTTTTAGTTTCCAAGCACGTTTATTGACCAACAAAAAAGTTATTAAAAAAGTTATTTATTTTGAAACTTATTTACTTATAAATAAGCTTGTGAGTTTTCTAAGCTTGGTGAAAACTGCACTCAATTAACACCTTGGGAGTCAAAGATCGTACCCACACTGTGGAATCATTGAAATCCATCATGAAGCTTCAATTTTCTGACTTCCAGAAATGGTTTTACCGCTTGATAGCAGTTGCTATTAGGAGGACCAAAAGTATACTTGTCTATGTTTCAGATTCAAATGTTTATCAACCCACCCACTCATTGCAATTTAATCACACTCGTTTCTGTACACCATCCCTAGTTCATTCAATTCTTCAAACCCTTTCCTTTATCAATCATCACATTATAACTTCTACCTACCAAGGATGGCAACTCTCTCTCTCCCTCTCCAATAAGAAAATAAGAAACCACACTACCATTGCCAGCAGAAAGTAGTCTCTTTACTTTCTTTGAATTTCTAAAACCATTACAAAGTTCGACCATGTGAACCTGATCTCACTAATTAGACTTATATTTATCTTCTTTGCATGAAAATTAATTTGCATTTTCACAATGAGGTCCGAAGCTGTCTATACACAAATAAAATATTAGTCTAGTGTCAACATGTTACACAATCATCTTAGCAATGTTTAAAAAGGCATAATCAGATACTAAGGAGGTGAGGTGTAAGTCTCACCGTAAATCCAAAAAATATTAGTCTCTCCGTTCCATTTATATAGACTGACTTTTCTTATTTTCTTATCCTAATTATATAGCCCTGTTTTTATAGAAAATGTTTTGTTTTGTTCATTTACTAATATACCCTTATTTAATTTGTCTAGTTATAACCAATTTTCTCCAATTTACTAGTTGTTGTTGATAATTAAATAATGGTAAACTAGGCAAGTTGTTGGTTGAAATCGCAAGTGCATGAATCGTAACAAGTAATAAAGTGAATGAGTAAGAGTATCGTCCCACGAGGAATGAAAAATTACAAATAAATATCAAAATTTATTAAACGATTATCTATTTGACAGCTCGAATATGAATGAATTGTTGGACCAGTAAGTTTAAAATAACAAGATTTAAACA